TATATAATTTTCTTTGTGAAGTTATACAGAAATATATGATGATAATTCTGTCCATATTATGCTTTCTAAAACCATTTTATTTTCAAGAATGTTGTTTTTAGGTCATTTTTATGCTGTTTAAATAAAATAAAGTGTACGTTTGGAGTAGAAAGATAGAAGCAGTCTTTATGTCCGAGTGAATTAAGTCAATTGCCCTGGACAGCTCTTGGTTCATCCTGTCCGAAAGTTTGAATTTATGATTAAGAAATTTGTTCTTTGTTGAGCTATAAAGCTTGCCAACGGAGGGTCAATGGTTCACTGCTGGTGCAATCGCCGGGTGGCTAATTAAATGTTTGGCGTTACAATCTTGACTCTTTCTAAAACGTCATCATATGACATTGTGCGTATGACTTGAAACCAAACTTGCAATCAATATTATAATATTATGAGCGAATGCAATAGCTACATATGTGAGTATACCGACATTGCGACTCGCATCCTGCATCATTTTTACCGCATCACCGTTTCCTGTAAGTTGCATTCATTTCGGATAGTCTGAGAAATTGCGCGGCAAGACAAACTTTGTTGTCGTGACAACATCATTGCTGTGTTTAAATGATGAATCATATGGAAAATATATATCAACAAATAAAATCAACACCATTTCAATTATCAAATCATTTATTTGCTTGGAATAAAACATCAAATATATAACAAAATGTTAACAAACATATGTAATGCTTAAAAATGTAAAATCGTAGGTAAATAACAATAGAAACAACCGATTTAAGAAATATTCATCTATGTTATAATCATGTAAAATTCGGGGGATATTGGGAACCCAAAATAACCGAGGGTTCCTCAGTTTTGTTTCTTTAAAACAATGAAATCAATTAATCTGGCAGTTTTAAATTGAACACTTGAAAGCTTGTAAAGCAGTAAGACATTGTAAATTGTGAAGAGTATAAATTGACATTCAAAAATAGTGACGCATTTCAAATCGTAATAATTGTTTAAAGGGACTCCACTGTGGATTTTTTTTGACATGACAGGACTTGAAATAATTTTTCGATATTAATGCTCCATTTGATGCGAGTCTGTACCAATAGGTTACGTGCAAATTTTCAGATCATTTGCTAACTTCGTTTTTCCAGAATGAATATTGTAATTGCTAAAAATGACCTGAAATTAAAAGCGTTGCAATGCTTTTTACAAAAAAAATGGACCAAGAATAACACAAAAAATTATCTTTTCTATATCCTTCTGTTTGAAGTTCTCGAGGTGATCTATGTAAGAAATGTAATTTCATGGGTTTTTTTTAGGATTTGGATCACAGTGGAGTTCCTTTAATGTATTATAAAGGATCTCAACTAAGGTCCAAAGGACTGAAAACATAGAAGTTGAATGTCTTACAAAGATAAAGTAAACGATGCTTTCAGTGAAAGTATCCTTTGATATTATAAACACCGGCTGCATATAGTGAATGATATTTAAAACTATGTTTTGTTTTGTGCCTTTCATATATTCATATATTCTTTGCAAAAATAAGGACGTATAAGCACACAAGAGTTATTTAAACAGACATAAATCATGTATTCATATTGTATCCAACATTGCATTTAGAGAAACAAGTAAAAAAGTTTTAAATGTTTAGTTTTTTTTAAACAATAAATAAAATATATTTTAAAACTTCTTCTGTCAATTCACTCGTAATAATGTAACAATGTAAAAATACCTTACATTCCATGTTTACTTATGTAAGTCCAAGCGGATTTTTAATAATGAAACTTTCTAGATGACGTCATCAGGTCGACAAAAGATGTAGATAGACCTTAAGAGATGTAGCATAGCCCAAATTTAAATAGCACTGTGACAATGAAAAACGTATATTACTTGCTGGTGTCTCAGAATAAGGTAATTTGTTTCGAAATATTTCAGTTTCATCAAAAAAGCATAATTCGTTTAAGATTATTGTTTGAATAGTTAAAAGATTTAAATGTAAAAAGAAAATAAGAATCGGAAAATTTTGTAACATGCCGCATTAAATATGTATTGAAAATGGCAATTAAAGGACGCTGTATTTTGTTTCGGTTTTCTTCTTTGTTATATACAAAAAACAATTGGCAAAGTATGACAAAATGACACGCGTGTATCATGTAAGCTTTACTAGTCACTTTAATAGTGTAACAAACAATAAACGACGATCATTAAGAACAATTTGTAACGCACAATGACAGCAATGATGAAGAAAAAAAAAGAACATACAAAGAAAGACTTGGTAAATTACAGCTGCAAGATCACAAGTTAACGGTCGGCGCGAATTATTACCAGCGAATCTATTATAAGATAATATATGATAATTAAGATATGTTATAAACAGGCATCAAAAGTAACGAAACATTTTGGTGTACTCACATGTTCTCCCTACTAGTAGGATAATCTTATTTCCGATTTTAAACCCTTTACCAGGCTTAATATCCCAAATAGACTTTTAAGTCTGAGCAAAAACATTCATTACTTTTAGTGAAAATCTTATTTAAAGGGACTCCACTGAGGTTTTTTGACTGGACTGGACAGAAAATAAAAATATTTTTCCAAGATTTGTGTACCAATTGACTTAGGTCTTTTCCAATAAATTGTGCGTTAATTCAGCTTATTTCCACATCTTGTTTTTGATTTTCATTTTTATTTAGAAAAAAGCCCCCAAAAATGAAAAAAATCAAAATCAAATCCGGCTAAAAATCGCATGAACAATCATTTTTCAAAATATTTCTTTGTTATTCTTTGGAGGTTATTCCATTTTAAGTGTTTCACTTGATATTTGTAAGATTTTCAAAATTTCTGATTTTTTTTTGCATTTTGACCTCAGTACAGTTCCTTTAAAGTGCACGTAAATGCGTGCCGAATCAGTGTACACACCATGATAAGACGGTATAGATGTGCCTGCAGATCTACACTGGTCACATGGGTAGATTATGTCACCATTTACAGGCAAAGGTTTAAAATGTTATCTTGGAATTATTCTTAACATTATTCCAAAAATAATTATTCAAAATTTGGAAGCACAGTCGTGACTTGTTTATCGGCCTGTTTTTAGATTCAGATATGGGTACATAATGCATCTTTTGTATGTAACATGACTAATGTAAATAGAATATGTAGCCAAATTGTGGAAGTTGGTGCTTACAATAACAGCCTTATATCTCCTGTACTTAGACATTCTTATGTAGGTATTAATAATATCAGTTGTATTACAAAACTTTATTCATAATGTGTTTAAAAAGACTAGAATTATATAAATTATTATATTTTGCAAAAAAAAATCTTTCAAATGGTACTTAAGAAATCATCTTTTTATCTTTTGCTTGTAAAGATAAAATAATTAAATATAAAAGTCGGTTGGACGTGACAGTTACTTCAAGTAAATGTATAATGTCACTAAGTTGATCTAGCGTAGCATGGTTCTGAAATATGAACAAGGAACCTTGTATCATTCTATAAAGACATTATTGTAAGAAAATATTAAATAAAATCACATGTGTTATAGGTCTGTAGATTTTGTAACAGATGTGTCTACTAATGGTCCATGTAAGTTATTTATCACAGGCGAGTCAGTGTCTATATCTATCACCGTTTCATCTTCAGTTTTTACACTGTCCGTTATAAGACTTTCACTCACATCTGTCCACGAATCTGGAGAAACATCAGGTTTAAGTCGCCGTAGTTTTTCATGGGAATTCATTCCAACAGACGGACTTATTTTATTACCGGTTTCAAAACAATCAGTATGATCCATCAGGTCATTTTTCTCATGAGAGCAAACGTCAGTCCTGTCCGACTCAAGATTTATATTGTCAAGAAGACTCACGTGTCCAGAATCCGCTCTTGAATTGTCTAAACCCTGGTCTTTGTGTCTGTCTTCATTGAAGACATTATTATCTTTAAGAACACTATCGTTTGGACAAGACCATGCTATATCTTTTTTGTCATTGAACCAAGCCGATGTTAAACTTGTTTCAACCTCTTTTATTGATGGACACGCTTCTTTTTCACATATTTTATCATTAATAGTTTGAAAGCATTTCTTTCCTGTTTCAAATAAATCTTTAGGTTGCTTAGAGTCTTTTAAAGAATCACGTTTTGTCCTAACATGAATTGTGCGTACCTCATTTGGTGTTTTTGCACCGAACTCCGTTTCAAGAATGTCATAACTTTTTGCTTTTGTTGACAAATCTGATCGTTTTGGTTTCGGGGATATTTCCACACAACTTTTACTCTTACGCGATGACTGTAATGTTTCGAGGAATATTGCAGACTTATCTGCAAATGAATCTTTTTTATCAGAATACTGAGGTCTTTCTGCCTGGTGATATTTCATTGCAGGCATGCTTTTGTCTTTATGTATTACCAGTTTTGGCGTGTCTTTAATTGAATTTAAAGTGAAACTTTTTCTTATCACATCTGTATCACAGCTGCTATCTCTATCACTCGCGTCTACTATTCTTCGAAGTTCAAGGGGAGATTTACAAGTATCCGAATGAATTTCTTCAAGTTTGTCCATAAAATTAAGTCCTTCTTCACTCTTTCCAGCGATGCTTGTATTATCTCGTTCTGTATCCGTCTGAATCACATTATCTGTAATATTCCCATAAGACCCTGTAAAATCACTCTCCGTGTAACTTATGTCATCACTGTTGTCTAGTAACCGGTCTGTTTCTTTAAATCCCGTTCTGTCATTCGCTCTTACATTATACTCACTCTTCGATATTGGCATTCCTATTTGAAACTGATTTCTAATATTTTTCTTTTTTGTACCATCACTATGTCTTCTACCTACAAGTTCGTGCGGATTTAATAACAATGGTACTTGTAAACTACTCCTCCGCCTTGGGTTAAATTCCTCACGTGCAATATCAGGGTCACATTCCTTAGCACATTCACTTTGCACGTGAAGCAGAACACGATCGTCCGATTTCGTTTCTCTTAGAGTTTCACACGCTGACCTTTGTTTATTCTCGTGCGCACGCTTTACTGAATTACTGTGGAAGTCAAAACTGAAATGCGTCGAAGACGGGCATGGCGTGCTCGGGGACACTGGCGCCAAAGACTCCAGTGGTGACATTTTTGACGCATTTGTTATATGCTTAAGAATTTCTCTCATGTTTCTGTCAATTGAACTAATGTCTTGACTTATTTTGTTGACTTTTCTCTCAAGTTTACTAATGGCTGCCTTTGTTCCTTCAACCTCGTTTTGTAAGTTTTGGACATGTGGTATTATTTTCTCATTAGTTTCTGGAAGTAAAACAATAAGATTGGACGAAATATAACTATAAACACGTTAAATCAACAAATAACATTATAAATTATTTATTGTTTAGCCATTACAGTTAAAAAGCCGACCCCAAATAATTTGACAGATTTGTAAACATGTCGTTATACACGAAAAATGGCTTTTATATTACGTACGCTCTGTGAATATGTGAACAACAAAGAAATTAAATAGCACGCACATGCCTTTATGTACTTTCCAAATTAAACAATATAAAATTATTATTTAGAAAAGAGTTAATTCTACATTTAGAGGAATGCAAACAAATCTTACCCGGCTGATGGCCTAGCCGCATCTTTCTCGTTTCTTTCATCGATTGTCGATTCAAGAGTCCACTTGTTCTACGAATACCCCATGGTCGAATAGTTGGTGGACTAAAATAAATATGGTCATTTTTCTTATTTTGTAAATTATTATAAATCTTTGAATACTATTTTTAATTAAAGGTGGAATGAACGTTTTTTGCACCCGTACAGTAAAGGTCATATGGCGACTTTACAACATTGCTGGTGGGGGTAGACATCATGTGCCATTCGAACACAGGTTATATGGCAAAAGACAAACTACAACCTGTCAGTTTGAATTGGACCCAAAAATCAATTATCTTTCCGAACGTATGACCGCTAATAAACAACAGTCTATCAGGTTATATGACCACAAATATACAACAATGCGTAAGGTTATATTGCCGCAAATACACAACAACCTGTCAGTTTGAATTGGACGCAAATAAACAACAGTATATCAGTTTGTATGACCACAGATAAATCATAATGCGTCAGGTTATACGCCCGCAGATAAACAACAACATGTCAATTTGAATTGGACGCAGAATATAAATCATCTTTCCGAACGTATGACCGCAAATAAACAACATTTTGTCAGGTTATATGACCAAATAAACAACAATACATCAGTTTATATGGCCTCAGATAAACAACAACCAGTCAGTTTGAAGTGAACGCAGATACATGTTAACAACAATCTGTTCGAATGTATGGCCGCAGATAAACAACAACCTGTCAGTTTATATGACCACAAAAAACAACAATTTGTCAGGTTATATGGCCGCCGATAAACAACAATATGCATGTCAAGTTGTATGATTGTATGGTTGCAGACACACGGCTGATTGATATTTAGCTTTTACTTATGTTTATACTGGGTTTTATTTGTCAAAGCTATCTATAAGTGATAATGCACATGGGGGATTTACTTACGTTACTTGGCATTTAAATTTCATACATTATAGATCACATATAACATATGTATGTCTACCTATTCAACGAATCAATAGCTATATCTCCATTTGGAAGCTTTGGGAACAGTCTTCCTGGTGGCGGTAGAAGCGGGGAGCTCACTGATTGGTTGGAAAATGTGGGTTCCATGTCGTCATCATCTGCTTGTTTTTCCAGGGCGTTCCCTTTCTCTTCGTCGTCTTCATCGTCTGAGGGCGACAACTCATCGTCTTCAGATATAGAAGGTAGAGTACATACCCTTGTTTTGGGGCTGCTTGTAGTCTCCTGTAAGTGAGAAGATGGTACATTAATTTAAACTGGAAAATTGACTGATTCGTGGTTGTTACCTGTGATAACGTATTGTCTAAATATAAATGTCATGATGCAACCATAATTGTAAGATATGATTTTTTACATGGTATAATGTATAAATGTTGAAGAAGAAAGATATACATGTATTTGCATAATTTGGGATTTAATATTCAGGTATTTAAAAATGAAGAGACTCCACAATTTGAAAATTACTTTTTGCTCATTCTTATAAACTTCACTTTTAATAAGCCGGCCAGATGAAATCTGAGTGACTGAACACTAAATTAAACAATGACATCAATTAAATGTGATTCGAATTTATTAATATGATGAAAAACGTATTTATTATGTTTCATTCCATGTAACACAATGGCATGTGAATTATTTGTAACAAAAATGTAATCTTTTAACTTACAGATGACTGATTTGCATATCGTGATTTGTGTCATCCGCGGGGCGCCAGACGAAAATACAGAATTACCACAAAGTGTAATTTTGCTCCGAGGGGCGCTATGCTTAACTCGAACATACTACAAAGTGGTTGTTTTTGCGTTTTCGCCCGGCGAACCGCGGAGCATACACACGACATGGCATAAATCAGCCACCATAGTTACATTTCATTCTAATATTCTGAATGCATGAAATATCACAACTTTGTAAGAATGAAAGACCTTCTGGAATGTAATCTTAAAATATCGTTATCAAGCAGGCACGTTTTACAATGGTTTAAGAAATAATGTGAAGCTGATTTCTTTAACATAGGCAACTCATCGTCAATTCATAATTATAAACTATTGTGTTCCTGAAAGTCAAGCAAATTAAAGAGCGTCAATCACTCATATTATCATTATTTAAAAATATTAACGAAACATTTTTAACATGTATGTTGATAATTTTCAGATATATATGTCGGTAAACATTAAAATAATGTATGCATGCATTTCTATCAAAAAGAAACGTATGGAATAAAATTGACATTGTATAGAATAAATTAACACGAACAATATTGTCCTATTTTAATTCATTCAAAGTATCGCATCAAATATTCATTCTACAAATGAATTAGAATAAAGAATATTATAATTTCTCGTTACCAAAATTAATGTAAAAAGTGATTTATGCGCATAATGCAAAATAAAAAGAAATCCACTAACATTCGAAATCTCATTATCACTCATTTTGACAAACGCAGCGTTCCTTTAACCATATTTTGTTTTGAAAACGTGAATTCATGAAGCTGAAATTAGTGAATTCGTGAAGTTGAAATCGTGAATTCATGAAGCTAAAATCGTGAATTCGTGAATTCCGTATGTTGAACACTTGATTCACGGAGTAAAAATTGTGAATTCACGAAGATGAAATCGGGAATTCATGAAGTTGAAATGTCACCGCTGGTCTTTCGTATTTATCCCATATTAGCGGAAATTGTATAGAAGCAGTAAAATCCCATAAGTATTGTGACACTCATACAATTTGGTTTGATCTACTTGTATAAAAGAATACTTGCATTAGCAACGCATTACAGGTTATATAAGTTGTTTATTTGTTTGTTTGTTCGTTTGTTTGTTTCTCCAACAATAATTAGTTATATTCTCTATTAAAACGGACTACATGTGCATCTCTCGCGACATGCAATTTTGTTCTAAAATGCTTATTTAGCAACCTTTTATTGATGTACATGTACATGTTTATTTCTTATTGAAAAGTTAATAAGGACGCCGAGCAGCTACAAGATAGAAATTGAAATCAAAACAATGAAGTCAATAAATATATTAGAATCAAGTTATAGGACCACATATCACGTGACACTAAATGGTACATTAAATGAAATAAAGGCGGTGATTTTTTTATTTGGTTCAATGTCGTAGGAAACTATTTACGCAATTTCGTATCTGATCGCTGTTTGAAATTCAAAAGTAAGTAAACATGTGCCAAAAATATAAGATATAGAAAATGTCAATAATAACTCCAAGAAGTATATTCTGTGGCATAATTGGATCTCCAAAACTCAAAGAAACGTGAATATAAACATTATATACATGTATGTGCTCATGTGTTATCATCCGCCATTAAAATACGTGATATCTGGCCGTAGGTAAAATGTTATATACTGTAGATATATATCTATATGTAAGTGCACTAAATAAATAAAAACAAAGTTAGATCATTCAAATATTAAAATTAACTCATTTTAATCAACCTGTGATAGAAATGATATCAATGCACACAATATCCAAAGTCTGGCAATGTTAACTTCTCTACATTGTTGCGACAATGTACAGCAAACTACAGCAAAAATTATAATTTGTCAAAAATATATGAGCCGCGTCACGACAAAACCAACATAATGCGTTTGCGACCAGCATGGATTCAGACCAGCCTGCGCATCCGCTCAGTCTGATCAGGATCCATGCTGTTCGCTTACAAACCCTATTACAAGTAGAAAAACTGATAGCGAACAGCATGGGTCCTGATCAGACTGCACGGATGCGCAGGCTGGTCTGGATCCATGCTGGTCGCAAACCCATTATATTGGTTTTGTCATGACACGGCTCATATTGAGATGATTACTGGTAATAAAATACCCAGTCCGTATGTATGCCGTATAATTCACAACTGCATGTTTTGGTTATAATTTTGGTACCATATGGTGATTTTTCAAATCGTGAAGAAAAAATTAATTGAAAGCAAAAGTATTTGGTCATTGTGTGTGAAAAGATATAAAATGTCTGAATAATTGAACTACTAATTAATGTTTAAACCTGCAATCCAATTTAGTCATCTCTTCATTGTTGAACTATTAATTCAGGTCATTTTCTTTTTCTATGAAATAATTCAATCTTTATATACGTTAACAGTTTCACAGAGTTCCTCACACTAATTCATTTATATCTTTATATTTCTGTATAATTAAACTACAACTTAATTGTAATGCAATGATTGAAAACATATGCATCTTCTTCGGATAATAATTGATACATGTATATAGAAACAATTCTAAAGACTATATAGAGGTTATTGAATGAGTGAAGGTTCAATACTGAATTTATTGAACGAGTTGAATAAAATTATAAAATGTCAGGCTCTGGCGAGCAAAATATTATTTCATTTGACGAATTCAATATATTAAGTAATGGACCTACACAAATATAATATTCTATTTAGCACATAGGCCCAAAAAGACTGTTTAAACTGCAAAAGAATATTATTTTCATTGACGCGTCTATAGTGTAACGCTCATATTTAGCGCGTCCACTATTTTGTATAACGGAAATGACGTCACGTCGAAATATATGCACAGCCGTGCAATATCGTTTATACGGAGTCGCAAAATCGATTCGTGTATGCGATAAATATAACTTTGAGTAAATCTAACATCGTATAATGTTTAAAACTTTGCAGCATTAACCAACAGCAATGAAATAATATTCCGTGAAACAGTTGACAACAGTTTAAGACTGCAGGTACAACAGTTTAGTGGTGTGTTCAGTTATTCAGACATGGTAACAAATCAAGAGAGGGGAAATCACCTCACTACACTGGCCTCGTAATACAGCTGACATTATTGACAATCTTCTCCATGCAGAAATCCATTATAAAGAAAAAAAGATAAAGGAAAGATAAAAGGTTTGCTCCTTAAGGTAACCGCCCTACATCTTAATTATCATTAATTACGTACACATGTATCAGTAGCAGAGTGGTTAAGGCCCCTGATGATTCAGAATGTTCGAGCTCCTTCCTCAACTTTATTGAAGGTTTCGAATCCAGGTAAACATGTTATTTGAATTGTTTAAGTTCTCCAGTAATGTTTTCGAAAGTGTTATGCCTGCGTAATTTTCCCGAAGGAGCACCGTCATCTGAGCTCCTTTTTTGATCATTGACAATCAAATATTGTCACATCACATTGTTACTATTGATGGGACTTTATAGACCACAGCAAATGCATCCTTGCCATTGGAAACACAAGCACAGTTTTTTGTTTTGTTTTTTGTTTCTCAATTGCAAATTACTAGTTTTTTTATATTTGAAAGCTATTTGATGCAAACATATCATAATTCGACGGAGATCCTCTTTTTGAAATGACATAATACTAACATTTGATAATTATTCATTATAATGTGTTAATAATAAGAAATATTTTGCTGGAAAATACCATTGCATGGACCATTTATATGAGTTTATAATATCTATAAAGCATATTTATTATTGCAATATTATGTACCTTCCTCGGCCTCAAAGCTATTATTCTATAAAAGTCATTTTTTAAATTTATTGTTTATCTAGTATGTATAAATTTGGTTTTTCTTATACACTGAAAGTTCATCACTTTTCTAACTTGTTCATATATATATAAACAGTTAATAATAATACAAATTCTATGAAATTTACATATGAATTTACCACTAATATGGAGGTTCATTTTTTTGTATTCTTGCAAAAACAATTAATATGTCTTAAATGTAATACCTACAAAAAACTCAGAAATGGTGTTTGAGTTATACGGTAATCTTACCTTTGGCTGGATTCTTATTAATTCATACATTCAAACGTTAATCAAAGTTTTAAGTCAGTGTTTGCATTCAGTATATTTTGTATTAAGTATACTTACTTTGTCTAAACTAAACATAAATCCCTTGCCGATATTTTTACTATAATGTTTGGTGTTGAATATTTCAATTATTTTTCATTTGCGCTTCCAAGTATCATGTTAAAAAGTACCTTGTACTCACAATTAGATTTTTTATCATTTCCTAGAAAAAAGCACAAAGTTTTGATATGTATTTTACTGAGTTTGTTTTGCATATACTTACTTCATCTGAATCTTCTTCTCCAGTTTGTCGTAGGTTATACGTGAGGTCGTTATGAATGTCCTTGGCAAATTTCTCAGCAAAGTCTGGGTACAACAGCAGTACGTCCGTGAGGCCTGAAATATTTAATACAGTCAGAAATATTCCGCCTGAAACATTGGAACATTGTTAAGAAAAAAAAAACATTGCAAAGGGTAATCATCTGTACGACTTGAAAAACGTATTACAATCTGACATATTACCAAGGTAAATATTTGTCAGGCCTGAACTATTGTTTGCAGTATGAAACATTACAACTCTAAACATATTTTAGGCCTTAAACATGTATAACAATCCGAAACATTACAAGTATATTTGAGTCCTGATATATTTCTGCCTGTAAGAAACACTGCAAGATTAGACACATGTTCGGCATGAAACATGTACATGCTTATCAATCAGAGAAACGTTACCAAAGTAAACATATGTGAGGCCTGAAATATTCGTTACTGCTAGAAACATTTCAAGCGAAAATACCATCAAGGCATATAACATTCAATTCAGTCAGAGAAAGTATACGCCTAAACATATTTGAGGCATACAACGTTAATTGTATTTAACGTATAATTATATATGTTTACATCCTTGAAACTTAAACCAATTCGTTTTGATCGAATAATCATTATATGGTGAATTGGTAATTATATAAATTAAATAAGAGTTTACATTCAAAGTATAAAATCTATATGCGAAAATCAAGTATTACTCTATCAGTCAGAAGTAGGAAATATAAAATGATATTTCAGTCCAATAAAAAATCTGAACACGAATCCTATCATATTGTAATATGTAAGCCGCCGAATACTATTGACTGCGCTTGTTTGTTTTGATTTTGTTTTGTTTTGATTTATGTTGTGGTTTAGTTTTTGCCCCTGCTCCACAGCTTAAATAATTAAATAAGTCAGACCACTTTCCTACAAGTAATTGTCTTCATAAAATTATATTCCTTACCATGAGTTGTAGCATTTTTAAATATAAATCTAGTCTACCTTTTAATTAATTTACTTTATTTTTGCTTCTTTCTTATTTATTTATTTATCTTCTTATTTTTTTTCTGCAGAAGCATAGTGGGAAAACAGTTTTAAGCCGAGTGTAATCCGCCCAGTCGTCAATATTCAGATAGGTTCTTGGAACAGCAATGTAGTTTTAAGACATTTTATAAACATCAAAGACATTATTTTTCTATCTTGCCTAAGTTTTCTCATGTTCTGAAGATCAACTTCATACTACTGGGAAATTTAATGTCGCTTCAAGACATGTTCCAGTTTCCTGAATTAAGGTGAATTCATTTTATTCATTTTCTTATTTTACTACAAATACCAACCTTTAAGATTTATACACTGAAGTTCACTATAAGTAAGCGATCTGACATCGTAATTGCAAACACTAATTGGATCGTTGAAGTCGATGTCTGCGCCGAATAAATCACCTTTCCCTGAAACAGTATATGTGTACTAATCACATTTTGTAGACATCTTTAAGATTGAACATCTTTTTGCAATCTGTGATATGTAAATTGTTAATATATATATAATAGATGACATATTGTAAGGTTCTTAAAGGAACAAACATCTTTTTGCAATTCTCTGGTATATGATCGTGGATATTTATCATGTTAATATGTCTATTATCCAGGAGACAGATGATCCCAAATGTGCACTGAATAACTTATGGGGTTTAATGCAATTTAATAAGAAGAAAACACGGAGTCTCCAAGGATATACCCAAAACGACAAAACTGCAAATATTACAGAGCCTGTTCTAAACTGCAACCTACTGTCCACGACCGTTTGCGCCACGTTTGTAACATGGACAAAGTGTAGGGGTCATACCTATTAGCGACACGTATTTAGAACTCTTGTAAAGAGAAATACATGTTTTAAGGAGATGAATATTTACAGAAGGTAACCCCTTTTTTCAAAGACTTATTGGATAATTAAACACGTGTATAAATTATGGTCATGGTTAAAGTCATAGAATCAACCAAAAAACAAAAACATGACTTTGAAATAAAACAGAACATTCGTTAATATGTTAAGATTATTATATAAATTGGCCGCCCGCATAGCTGAATAGGGACTGCATAGGATTGGTAATCAAGTGGTCAATAGGGACAGCATAGGATTGGTAATCCAGTGGTCGCTGCTTCGATCATCGGGCGAAGCGTATAACTTTTTTACGTCAATAGATCTTGGACATGGAGTATAATGGTCATTTGTCCATCACCGCTTGTTCAGAAATCATGTGAGATAAGTAGTCAGTCACTTGCAGAGAAATTGGTAATTACTGGTTAGCTATCTAGCAAAGCTGCCGCCGAGATATGACCAAAAGCATACACATGTTTTAAAATCGGCGATAAAATAGAAACACAAACAAGCACGTATAAGTTTAAGTAATACAAAAGAAGCATTCTTACCTAATATTGCAACAACCATGTCCATCTTAAGTATTTCCATGGATCCACTAACTAATAAATACAAATAGCTGGAAGCGTCACCTTTGTGTACTAGAAACTCTCCTGGTGCACAGAATGATTTTCTCGTATGCAAAGCTATGGACCTGAGGCAACCTTGTGTGGCATCTTCAAATATTGGTAAATTAAGAATCTCTTTATGTAAATGCAATCCTAGTTCTCCTTTCATTTCCTCGGGGAAATCTTTCAGTATCTGCAAATCATGAAAAACAACCACGTGTCACTAACGTGTCAAATTACTAAGCAAGCAATTAATAAAATATATAAACCAAAATGATACTAAGTAACAAAGCATTACTGAAGACTTGGGTAGATTGAGCCCGTTCATGAACGACAGTTGTAAATGAAAGCTTCTGACCACACACCTAGCGCCGACTGAAGCGAGCCAACATTAAAACATAAACACGGTGTTTAATAAAGTATTATGAATTTAGAAACATCCACAGATGTTATCATCCGGGGTTGACTATGGGATATTCAATGTTACACTTTCGTGCCATTCAATGTTTTCTCGTTTAGTGCAAAATAATTATTTTATCTTCAAAAATTGCTCAAAACGAGAAAACATACTAGGCGAAGTTTGATAAAAATGGAATAATGAGACGTATTCACAGGTTTATGAACCTTGCGATGAAGACATGTTTTAAACATTTGCTTTCTTGGTTATCTAATAAGGACTATGTAAAAAATGTAATACATGTATTTTTATGAAGCTATATGTTTGCTGCACTCGTTACGATAACATTACTTCACTATTGTACAACGTTTTAAAGAACAAAATACAAATGAATTTCGCAGTCTATTTAAGGGATTATTTATTTTATGAAAATAACAAAGAAATAAACCATTTACATACAAACAAATAAAACTATTAACGAAACATCTACATATTGTAGATTTTAGGCATAAAATGAATCAGTATTAACATATTTCTCATTCCTTATTAAACTTGATTCTTGGCTGAAAAACGTATATAAAGATTCCACATGAATTTTAAATTTCCGATTTTGTTTGCACATTCCCTAACCGAGATTTTCAAAGTAACCACAAACTGTTTTGTTTGTTTGTTTGATTGGGTTTTACGTCACACCGACACAGTATATGTCAATTGGCGACGTTCGGAGGAAGACCTCAGGTGCCCTTCCGTGCAGTATATCAGGCACGAACAGGCACCTGAGTAGAACCACCGACGTTCCGTAAGCTAGCTGGATAGCTTCCTTACATGAAAGAGTCCAAAGTCGCTGTCGGGATTCGAACCAACAGCGGTGAGGGGCAAGTGGTTTGAAGTCAACGACCTTAACCACTCGGCCACGGACGAGCCCTTTTGTCTATTTTTTTGCGGAACAAGTCATGTTGTTTAGAATATATGTGTATTTGAAATTAACAAAATGGAATATTTAACGATTGTAAATGCATACCTCGTTTGTTTCTATACCATTATTTATTGACCACATGGTTTGAAAATATTCTTGCATTCGCTGTTTCAATGGCTTTGGAATATCATATGCACGGAAAAAATCTGAAAGCAAAATATGAGTTAAATCTATTATTTGTTATATGAAAGTACCCTAAATTGTAAACTACTATTTGTCAGTATCCTTAAACCTTAACTATATATATATGTATATGACAGTTCCTCAAAACTTTATTTTACTGGACATGTAGTGTCCCAAAGACTTAACTATATACATGTATGACATTTCCTAAAACTTTCACTATACAGTGTATATGACTGCATGCATTAACCTTAACCGTGCACAATACTTTTTAAACCTTAACAATAAATGTCAGATTCCTTTAATCTAACTACGAATGAGAGTTTCCTTAAACCTTAACTACACATGACAGTTTCCTCAACCGATAACTACATACGATAACTACATACGACAGTTTTCTTAAACCTTAACTATATAATTTATGACAGATTCCTTAAACCCTAACTACATATTACAGTTTCCTCAAACTTTATCTATATATGTCACTTCCCTCAAACCTAAACTAAATATGTCAGTTTCCTCGAACCTTAACACTGTTTGATGTTTTCTCAAAACCTTACTACATGACAGTTTCCTAAATATAACAATACGCTCGAATTATGGCTAGAATGCAGCATGGAGACTTATAGGCAATAGCGAGATATACGTGGATTTTCATTTGCATTTATTGCTGCAATGCGATGTTACATTAAATTGTTGTACAAAAGAGTTAATTGCAAATGTGTATCCTGCACGTGTCTATGGCGACGTTGTTAACACAACGTTGTGATTAAAGCCTAAACTTTATGACCCTTGACGCTTCAATGAGTGCGTCGCCAACAAATGCAGTCATTTAAGTCGTAAAATGTGGGATTCTGATATAAATGTTGAAATAAAAAAGACATCGCTCGCGGAAAATTGTCTATCTAGCTTCCAGTGAGAATATTACGAGTGTAATAGTCCAAGCAAATAAAACAAAGACTCATTTAACATGACTATATATTATTATGGACATCACAATATTGTCAAGTCTACCTTAAAGCAAACTGGCCTTCAGATGGTTAAATAAATACATTGAAATAAAATTTCAAGTAAACGGTAAATACTGATATGATTTAGTAAGGTTTAATGTGTAAATTCATTATAACTAATCACAATCACGTGGTACTAGAAAAAAAACCCGGATGAAAGAATTCTGCAGTATAATATTTATAAAGATAGTATTTCCCGTCGGCGGAAAAGCGAACTGTTTGTTTTCAGAGCAATGATGTTAAAATATGAACATTTCGAAGTGTCTCTTCGATTTCTTTCAACTATATATTATTTTTGAAGAGGGAGATTGAAATATAAGCAAGACGACAAATTTACTGTTATCGTCTGGAGGCCTGCTGCTTAAAAGGGAAAGTTTGAATGTGAAGGGACCGAAAATATTTTTTCTAAGATTTTTGTATAACTAGATGTATGTCTAGACAATTAACTCGTGTACAAAATTTCAGATCATTCACTCACTCCGTTTCCCAGAAAAAACTCATTTTTATTTAGCAAATTGGCCAAAAATAATGAAAACCTTTGCAACGCTTTTCACTCAAATCGGCCAAAAATCTCATTAAAAAATAATCAATTTAAAACGGTGTACATTTATATATTATCTATTACTCGGTTTTCAAAGTTAAGTGTATAAATTGGTTAAAAAAGATTTTCAAATTTTATCATTTTAGGCTATTGGACCTCAGTGGAGTTCCTTTAAAGGAACATTATGCCTCAGAAACGAAATTTTCTTCATTCTATAGAAAGGGAAAATATGAATTTTTAAACATTTAAATAATAGTTTGAGAGAATGTTAGATACTTTTCATCTAAAGAAAGAAGCGCTCAATGTGAAACTATTTGTCATGAAAGTAGCGAAATGTAAACAAAGTAGTATAATAACTTCCATACAAAATACTAAAACAATATAACTATACTAATTGCCCAAAGGGAACAGAAGCAAAAGATGGTTCAGATTATTGGCCAATTACTAACTTTTTGAAAACTATTACATTAGACCAAAAAAAAAAAATTGAGAAATGAAATAAAAACGTTGCTGTGTCATAATGCGCCGTTAATAGTTGACTTACCTTTTAAATCTTTAGTTTTGGAATGGAAGTTAGCTCGTCTCTGGTACATACGTTGTATTAATGCTGTAACATTACCAAATACTACTGCGTGCATCAATGCTGGAACCAGAAATAATCTCATCTTATATCAACTGTTTTATTATTCTTAAATGATTATTCACGTTTAACGATATGCCATAGCAGCGTACGAGTCCAATATAATCAGTATTGTATTCAACATTTTTTAATTATCTCTTAAAAACTTACCACCAAATGTTTGACATTTTGACAGAACTTTGTTACATGTACTTTTAGTACAATAAGAATTTGATATGTTTTCTTTAGACTCGCAAAATGAATGGAAACGAGGCTAGATGGTGAAAAAAGTGATTTGATATGGATTTTTGGACACTAGGCTTTATTGATAATATTGGATCCAATAATGATTTCTTTTAGAATATCACATGGAGCAAAAGCTGGAAGTTCATTGGTCATAATTCATAAGGTATGTAAAATACTATATACATGTAACGAGACGAAGGTATGAAAAATGTCATTTAGCAATTTCAAACGCTTTGCTACAGGCGTTACTTCAAATTAGCAATATGGCCGAAAGACAAGAAGAAGTGTTTTTCACGCCTCTGAAATAAAATTTTCATCCGTTCAATTTCCATACTTATAATTAAATTCATATATTTAAATGTGCATGCAATCATTATTTCGAGGGTAATCATTATTTCGAGGAGGCAAGTCTTTTTCTAGCCCCAATCACAAATATATTCCCTATTTAAGTGAAAAAAACTCTTCATGAATAAGTGCAGTACTTTGTGACTACGGTCCATCGATTTCTATGGCTGAAAATGCAGGTTATTTTCAAAAGAGTTGATTGTAAGAAAAGGCCAGAAATAATAACAACATGACGCCAATTCATTTCAATGTATGATGTCATCGATACGTCATGAAAATCTGTATCCGGTGTACGTTCTATTTTGTTTCGCTATCAATGCATAGAACGGGAACAAAAATTGTGTTTCAAACAATGTGATATGACATATATCTTACTGATGAATTATAACGATATCTCATCGAAAATAACAAGACAAAAATGAAATACAAATTGTGATTCAAACAATGTGATATGACATATATCTTACTGATGAATTATAATGATATCTCATCGAAAATAACAAGACAAAAATGAAATACAAATTGTGATTCAAACAATGTGATATGACATATATTTCACTGATGAATTATCATGATATCTCATCGAAAATAACAAGATCCATTGATTGTAAAATGAATACATTATAGCTATAAACGGGTATACACACCTCCTATTATCATAGCACATATAGAGAATATCTTCTCGGAGTTCGTGTTGGCCGACACATTACCAAAGCCAACACTTGTGAGGCTACTACAGGTGAAGTATAGGGCAGATAAATAACTCATCATTATGTCAGGTTTGATGGTCTCATTATCACTTGTGTTACCACCTATATAATTATTCAGATGTAGTCTCTCACTCAGCTCGAACAACCAGCCTGAAAAAAGAAATAGTTCGCATTACTACAGTAGGTCTTTCGGTTTCGACGAACAAGTGTATATAATGTATTTTTCAGCTTAAAGCTGCACGCCTCCAGATGAGCAAAATATTTAAAGAAATTCAGTCGTTAGAAAAATATATTAAGATCTTAAAGAAAAGTAAAACAGAATGAATGTTTAATTAATTATTTACATGTTACGCCCGATTAATGACTGACTTTTGCAGTATTCAACACCATAATGTTACTGCGTTACTAACGCAGTAAGGGCTATTTTTGCACATTTTGACCACTTTTTGGTAATTTACGTGGATAATTAGTGCCTATATGCAATGTGTCAATTCAGTTATTGTCTTTGTAAACCGTCACAATATTTTACTTTAAAATACATTTTCAAAATTTTCACGAACATAAGGATGAATCTAGAGCCATGCTGCTTTAAAGCAATTGTGTTGTTCACCTCTTTTTATTATTCATACAAAGAAGGTAAGTTTGTAATTAAATACGGATGAAATGTTTATAATCCTGTTCAATGTTCCCAGCAAGCTATATTACTTAGTTTTTTAGCTATGCTATGCTGTATAAAGTTATGTTATGTAATACAAAGTTATGTTATGCTAAGTTAGATAAATGGATGATATTGAATAGTTTTCTCAATATACTATTCAACCATCTTGCAAGTCTTATTTTATGTTCGTTGCCAACCAAATTTCCTAGCTATTATCATTGCATGCTGAACTGTTCAAATACGTTCACACGTGTAATAATTATTAAGTGAAAAATAATTGACAATACATTTTATACTATAACTATACATAAAATATCAACATGACAAACAGCGCTTCTATAATTGGCATATAATGCACAAACAATGGTAATCTCTATATTTTAGCTACAATTTGAATTGCATTTCAAATCAGATAATTTTAAGCAATTTATGCACATTTCTAAATCCCCAACCTGATTTTATGCAGTACAGATGTACTTTGAGATATCTTTACAAAAATAAATTGATAGATACTATGACAGATTGACTTGATTACAGTGATTGTGAGGGAAAGATAAGAAGCCGTTTTACAGCTAATACATCATCGTCAACCTCGTTTTAGTGTCAGTGATTACCGCATTTTTCTATCTGTGTTAAATATGTGTTTTATGACATATTAGGTTGTATTGGACGTGGTCAAAAGGTCCATGTCAAATGATAAATTGATGAGTTTAACATAAAAAATGTGACACCTGTGATGCTTAAAAGGAACTCCGCTGAGGATTTTTGACATGACTGGATTTGAAATAATTTTCCGAGATTAGTGTTCCATTTGCTGTAGCTCTCTATATATAGAATAACTATTCTTATTGTAAAAATGAACCAAAATTTAAAAAGCGTTGCGACGCTTTTCTCTCAAATCGGGCTAAAGATTGCATAAAAATCGATCATTTATTTCTTGGTGATTCTTAATGATTTGTTGCATATCTTTCTGTTTTAAGCATACTAGCTGATCTATTTAAGAGCTAATTATAAATTTATATTTTTATCTATAATTTAAAATTAGTTTAAAGAATTAGTTTAAAAACATAATTCGAATTTCGTATAATTTAGAATGTGTATGTTATTTAACACGCACAGGTGTTGCACGTAAATAAAATAAAATGGTCCAGAAAGAAATGCTGTTTTTAGGGACAGATTTAATCGTTTAGCAATGATTCCTTGCATATTCATTTCGCTCTTGAAGAACTACTTGTACACCAAAAAAATTCTCCTGTGCAGTTCACATAGGTATTTTGTAAGTTTTTATTTTTAAATAAACAATGATTTTGTTAACTTCAGTCGCCAAAATTATATAGCTTCATAAACGTGAAATAAAGTATATACAATCGCTTATATATTGTAACCATGACATAGTGACAAATTGCGGACCGGGTAGGTCGCCCAAGACAAAATATATGAAATAGTTACATGCTCGATTTCCCTGATTACATTCATTGACGGCATTTTACATTCAACGGCCTCATCGCCACCAACCATGCCCTGAAGCACGACTTTAACGGTAAGCAAACTTCAACCTCTATAAAGTAAAGTCTTACTTGCTGATTTGTGGTCTTCGAACTCAACATGGCCAATGGCGTACCATATACAGGCAAGCCAGTGAGCCAGTAGGGTAAACATACTCATGAGTAGAGCTAACACAAGGGCACTATACTGTGAGAATCTATCTATCTTCTGAAGCAACCTTGCGAGACGGATTAAACGAGCAACTTTGAGCAAATGAACAGGCGCTTCCTGGAATTAAGAAAGAATAATAGAGAATTAGTAAGTAAATAAATGTTAAGTTAACATTGGCATACAAATAAGAAACTATCAATTACATGCACCGGTTAGTCTAATCAGCACGTGACCGTTAAAATAGTTTTGATTTCCTGTACGAACGAGCGTATAGAAAATCTTTATAATCTTTTTTTATTATTCATATTAGCTTAATAGTCTATTGTTGTATCATAATAATAAAGACTAATAATAATGATGATAATGATGATAATAGTGATGATGATGATAATGATAATAATGAAACAAATTATAACAATAAACGTTCTTTACAGATCTACAAATATTTGTTCTTTGGTATACAAATACATTTATTGCGTTTATTTACAATTATGTTTTGAACAGGAACAGAACTGTCTTTTTATTTTCGAAACATCCCCGTATATTTTATCATATAACTGGAAGAGTATTGATACCAATCATGGAAGATAAAAGTTAAAATGGTTGTGGTTATGCTGGTATAAAGAAAAGAAAACAGCAGTGTCTAAAAATATATTCAGTAGTCAGAAACGCTGCTTTTATAATTATAATGCACCAATGATTACACCATGTGTTTGTAACGTCTATTTTCATTGGATGCTTCTGGTTTTCATATTGTTTATACACGGTTACTCTAAATGTATGCATTAATTTTGACATCCATCGCAGAAATAAATAGATAAATTAACTAATCAGAAAACAGAAATATGCTGTATTACAAATTCGATATGTTATACATAGGGTTAGAAAAAATATGCAGCCTGACAGGAACTTAATACCCATACCCTTGAAACACCGTACTACGGTTTAACTAACTAAGCACATGTATATATTACACGTTTTCTTCCCTAATTGGTCAACAGTTTCATACCGTAACAGATATAAAATTATTTGACTATGTACAAACGGTTATTTACTTGATACACCTCGACTAACGCGGCACGGATCAGATGAAGTTACACGTACATATAACTTGATCAAAATTACTGATAACAAATAATATAATAACATGAAACGTTTTGACTTGTGAATGTTCATATAACCTCATTAGTAACTATGACAATTATTCCAACACTATTATCAATCAGAGAAGTAGAAAATTAAATTTATCCTTTAAAGTTACCGGCATCTGCTTTTTTCACACCTACGGGCACCTGCATGCGGAAGTGAACATTTTATCGGAACGCGAGATTTATACTTATGGGAATTGTTATATCGAATAGCATATAAATGATGTAGGTCGTGTCGCGTAAACTGCAAACTTCACCTTTATATCTCGAGTGACATCAGTTTCATTGATGATACAGAATTTTAATTTCGTTTTTTTCCATTATGCAATGGAATCAAATCATAAAAGGGATGCAAATATTCAATATTCATCAAATAGCACGCTCAATGCGAATAAAGAAATTGTGAGAGAGAAAAGCTATATTGAATTTCGCTTTGATGTTGTTTTAGTTATTGTTTGTTCAGTCTTATATAAAATAATATTCTGTGTACTTTTAGATAGATCTATTTTATGATAGACAGTACCCGATTTTTTACCATAATATAAACCTCCCTTGATAAATGCGGCAGCCATTATGAGGGTCAATTTTCTATGATAATATAAATGACAAAATATGAAAAAATATCAATATAAACTGCTGATTAAGGTTAATTATCAATTATTATATACATATAAAGGAAATTATTATTGTGGCACCACTATTTAAACATTTTGTATCCATTTTCATGAAGTTGATAGAATTATGAGAGATTCAGTCTTATCTAAGGCTTATAAAACATTGGGCATGACCCTCAAAATGGTGGCCGGGGGGGGGGGGTAATATTTGCTACATGTATGGGAAAAGCTTCTATACTCAAAATGGTCAGACAAAAGTAATAAAGTAATAAAGTTGATGTTTTAATTAGGGTAACGGTCACAACCTAATTTATTATCCCTTACATGGAAGCTAAGGTCTATAGTGTCTTAAGTTTCTGCCTCTCGATACAAACATCTTGAAACTCATGACCGATTCCCTTGTCATAATCTAGTTTCTTGTTTGTTTTGTTTGATTTACGGCGCACCAACACAATTTAGGTAATATACCATCGAAACATGGAAACAAAAAGATTTTGGCTAACTTCGAATGTTACCAGTAAAAACAACACCCATCTGCTGTAGCTAAGCGATGCACAGACTCCAATAATTCGAGCCCATTTAGTCGCCTTTTACGCACGCAGCGATAAACGGTGGTTGTAATCTGATGACTTAACTCTTAAAGGCAACCTCTCAGCCACAAGGGGAACCAAGTTCCGTCATTAACTGAAGCAGATTCAAGAAATTGTTTCATAATCGAGGTAAAATAAATACGTTTAGGCTAAATATTATTTACAAGACTATTTTTAGTGTATACTCGACGGTGTATACGCGATGATTCATTGACGTCACGGTGACATGACACATATAATTGATAATAACGGGAACGCCAATAAGCTTCCCAGATAATAACAACAAGAGTAATGTGTTTCTCAAATCTCCGCGTAATTATCACATACCCGGTGTAATATCCACGTGCTGTGTTATTACCACGCCTGTGATAATCACTCCACACCGGAACACTAAGTCCAAGAACTTTTCATTTAATTCTGACAGACAAGCGAGAAAGTAACATTTTTCCCAATAATGTACTGGATCAACCCTCATCACACACATTTCATTGCTGTTCGTTATATACATGTTCAACAAATAAATTAAATAAAAAAAACACTTACCGTACTAATTTTGAATATATACAAGAAATCAAAAGGAATGGCGGCTAGAAGATCAAGCAGAAACCAACCCTTGATGTAGTTGATAGCTATGAGCCGGGCCTCGTACACTACTTGGCCCCCTTTATTTACAAACGAGGTACGAAAGTTGAACAAAATATCTGTAATAAAAAATTAAAACATAAAAGGAGATACACTCGGTTTTGTCATCTAATCCGAGGGTACAAGTTACAGCTAGGTATATATATATATCGATAATAAGCGATAAAGGTAGTGCACCGTGAAGCTATAACGGTAAAAATTGTTTTGAAATTTGCCGAGTTCCGGATAACATCTATCAAAAGATTCATACAAGGAATTGCTTGCGTCACTTTATCTAAAGATACACATTTTCCTTCTGATCATACAATTTATAACGTCTAAAAAGGTTCCTAGTGAAATACGGCTTATATTGATCTAATAATTCTACATGTATTAATAAAAAAAAAAAGCGATTTTCGATTTTTAACAAAACATCATTTTAATTTTTAATAATTATGTTCACACATGTTTTATATGGTAATTACAGCCATGAATGTACAAAATATGTTCTTTCTGCTTGTATTTAAAAATAAATTTAGTTTTTAAAATTGAATTATTTTGCAAAAAGGGGCATTATTCTATGGCCTTTTGGAACCGGAAAAGGGGACATGAGGTATATTGGTAAGTGTGTCTACCTTTCACTCAAGAGCTCAAATAATCTGACGATTTATTTTTTAATTTTAAGATTTACACTTAACCTACAGGTGTCAACATACTCTACTAATTCTAATGCAACAAATGCAGCCCAAGATCAACCGGCACTGCACCGTCAGCTATTCAGTCAGAGTAAATATTTTGAAATTAATCCTAAAAGTGATGAATAGTTTTGTTATTTTTTTCTAGTCCTCCGAGATCATTAATTGATTCCTTCACTTTTAAAAGAGAGAATACCTCATAAGCCGGTGTTAACCGCATAAGCCGGTGCTAGAGGGCGTGATAGTTTTGAAAACCGCATAAGGGGGCGTGACAGATACACATGGCATTATCTCTCATGAACAGACTCAATAGAAAAAGTAAAAACAAGATTGTAATTGTTAAATATATGCAGATTATGTTCACATTGAAAGAGGGTCAAGTTTATTTAAAGATATACTATGATAATCCTTGTGTAAAATATTATAATCACAGAAATTTGATGAAATCTACGAAATTCTTATCGAATGTGTCTAATTTGTATAAAAGAATGAATAAATTATGTTTTTAAGCTGCTTTCCCTATTACAAACCAAGTAAAGTTGGTCTTTTCTTAAACAAAACAAACATTTTTTATTGACATTATATATATTCATATTGTAACCACATATATAATAATTATAGTATAGAATTTTAAACATAACATATTTACTTCGTGTGAAGTCAAAACATGTTTATTTTATATTTTCAAAGAGACTGTGTAGCAATTATCAATATTTTCTTATTCTGAATTTTAGCATAGTATATCTTTAAAATATTTAGCGTGCTAAAGGTAAAATAAAGAATATATATATACTTACAATAGATAAATTAAAAACTTACCAAACATAAATAAAATTTCAACAACAACATCGGAATAAATAGAATCTCTCTGGTTGTTTTTCTCAGTAAGTGTGAATGCGGCGTTATACGGTACAAGTATGGCAGTGTAAAATGTACACAGTAATATCAACCAATCCCAGCCAATCTTGAATATCCCGTAATGAATTAGGATGAATTTGGACTTTTTCACTTCTTGAACTTTATATTCTGGCATTTTCGCAGACATTGAGCTAAACTGTAAAACAAATAAATCTACAAGAATAAACATAAATAATGGAAATTGACATTCATACACAAATATACTGAAAATATCTAAACATCAACACAGATTTATTAAAACGATAACTGTATCACATTTCAATTGAATTATAAAATGCATAAAATTTCTCTTATGATTCGTTTTCAAAATATGTTTTTCAAAATTACACCAAATTCCATAATCATTCAATTTTAAATCAATCCATCCTTAGTGATTCTACGTTTAAAGCGACATCCTTTCTACAACGACCTAATTCTTACTACCCCTTGAGAAGATTTTTTTATTGAGTCATACGGCGTCCTCGTGCATTTTTTTTTCAGGTAGAAGAACCGATGTTCAATAGGCTAGCTTAATGACGCCCCTACCCCTTGAGGTACATTACTATATATTGCATCTGAATATAACAACTCCCTGACTGATGCGACAAGCGACCTGTATTTATGTCCCAAACCAGCATTTTCAGTTAGTCTATTCAAAACGACTTCCTTAAAGTTTATTCAAATATCTTATAAGAAAAGAAATATAAATGAAGTTCAAACAGAGAAACACAAAAACAGTATTTTTTCTAATACATGTAATGATTTGAACTTGTCATATTTGAATCAAATAGTGTATAAAATTACCTTATTTAATTGCTGTAATTTAGTCTTAGCACGGTTTGCTCTGTTGTGTTTTTCAAACTGGCCAGACAGGTGGTACAATACTGCACGGCTCCTGCGACGCTGACTTGCATATCCGGCAGTGCCTGGCATAGCACCCGACGCCCTGCCACGTCTTGCTTGACATCGCCGATATGCTTCTGCCATTTCCTCTGTAATTATAATACGAGTAGTATTTTAAAGATATACTATGCTCAAATTTTATATTTGAAAATATTGCTAATTGCTACACGGCCTTTTTGTAAATATTAAATAAGCATGATTTGACTTCAGACAATTAGGATATTTTATGTTAAGATAACACCTACACACTATAGGTGGTAACGATATGAATAAGATTAACTTTAGTGGACTTATGATAGGGAACGCAGCTTCCCATATAGTTTGTTCATTCTTTTATTTAAATTAGACATATTCAGTAAGAATTTCATTGTGAGGATTCATTATACACATATACTATTTAATAATAGTTGGCACCACGCTTCTAGATAATGTCGTATGAAAACTGTTCAAATGATTACAACTGTTAACAAGAGTACCGTGAAATGTTTTAAAACAGATGGCCTCTAATTTAAACCTTAAGTAAAATATGATAAACAAAATCAACAGGCAAAGGCGGCGTTCAATAAAATCTTACTTTGTAAATTACAGAATAACTTTTATTGTTGTTATAACAAAAGTTATTGGTCTACATATGGTTGCTATACAGAAGTAGCACTGTATTATAATTTACTGTCTCTTGCACGGACATGGCTTATGACAACACGTGCTCCTCTGTTGATAAAATTATCAATAAATTGGTAAGTAAGATGGATAAAATTGACAAATCTATCTGACAGAACAAGTTTAGTTATTTAAATAAGATACCATTGTCACACATTTCTCTAGGAATGTCACGTTTTGGCATTAATGTATCAATAACAATAAGTTACTGTTGATATTGCCATTTTCAAATAGAAAACAATCTGGTACCAAAAACGAATCAAGACGTTTAGTTAACGTTATTTGTTGACAAGGTATTGGCAACATGTTTATTTTGTAATAATTTATTTTTCCAAAAAAAGATATGTGTTTTTAAAACTAACTTATGTTTTTTTTATCTTTTCTCTTTCTGTTTTTTAAAGATAAACTATGCAGGAACTATTGATAATTGCTATTCAGTATCTTTGTAAATATAAAATAAACATGTTCTGACTTCACATATAGTAGGTGTGTTGTTTAAAACTCCACACACTATAGGTGGTCACAATGTAAATATATAGTGTAGTTAAAAAAACTGGCAGTTTTTTTAAAGAAAAGACCACCAATACTTGACCTGTTATAGGGAACGCAGCTTCCCGTTTATTATTCATTCTTTTATTCAAATCAGACATTTTCAGTAAAATGGTATGTGTTTTTCAAACTAAGTTGTGTTTTTTTTTATCTCTTCTCTTTCTGCTTTTAAGCCACGCCGACACTCAAATAGTCATATAGCGGCTCTATAGATTTATTGGAGAAGGAAAACCTCAGATGACCAGTATATAATTTCAAACACGGGCTGACACGTCAGTTAATTCAAAATTTTAAATATTCCTTTCTGTCATCAATTACCAAATAACCTTGTTATAATAAACGATTCTCTTCGATGTTTTTTTATGTTTGAAATTTGAAAGACACATATTTACATAAGCAAATGCGTTATTGTCACATTTTGTCTTAGAACCAAGACAAACGGCTAATTTCTACTTCACGCTGCTTTTCTCTACAGATAAATAGCTACTCAGACGACAGAGAATTTGCTAATCGGAAGAGAATCGCATTGATTCTTTCCTCTCGTAATTCATATCTTACAGTATTGTGTTTTTTGATTTATACTTTCATAGAAATAAGCAATCTATTACATCGTCTGACGTTTTGTTGTTTCTTGGTATTTATGGCTTCAATTCTACTATACAACAGGCAATTTCGAGGTATTCTTAAGCAAAAGTAAAATAATATAAAATTAAGGAAGTTGTCAAAAAGACTTGTTTGAGTATTTTGAATGGTTTTGCTTTTATTGTTGACAGAATTTCTTTTTTTAAAATGAACAGTCTGAATCAATGCCTTTTTAAGGCATTCTGTTTTCCGTTACTTTGATAACAAAACCTTAGAATGTATAAAGCTTGATCAGCAAGAAAGTGCAGCGTTCATTGAACGCGGGCGTTTGAAAAAAAAATGAAGAGAACGTGTTGAAGAAATTACCAACATACCATAAATATTGCAAGTCAATTCTGGACTAACTGATTGAACTCTTAATGCATATATTTACAAATATAACTTCACACATAATGGTTACACTCCCCCCCCCCCAACAAAACCTAGAAACACACACGGCAACCGAAAATGAACCCAGCAGGGCACCGGTCAAAAACAGAAGAGAGCACAAAGACGAAGCAAAATGTGGCGTAGACTTACCGTCACTATCATGTTCGTCACTACTTGACTTTTCCCCTTCTGTATCTTCACCTTTCTCTGTCTTACCACCAACATCTTTGTGCGATACCAGTATAAGAACAACCTGGGATTTCTCGTTTTTAATTGGCACGATATCCAACAAGCATTTAAAACGATCACCTGGTATTAAATAAAGGATAATTAAATTAATACTTTAATAAACAGTCAAATGAATTTATAAGCACGATGTTAAAACAAGACAGTGGTGTACATGTAGAAGTAATGAACCAGTGAATGTTGAATTCAATAGTGTTTGTTTTGTTTGGCTTTACGGCGCAGCAACACAGTTAAGGTCATATGGTGCCGAAGCAAGAAATATGACTTTGGCTAACCGCTGGTGTTACGAACTATAAGCAACAGCTGGGGCTAAAACAATCTCACCTGCTAGAGCTAAGAGATGCATAGACCCCTAATAATTTAGTCGCCCCTTACGATCACACAGGGTTAAAACGGTGGCTGTAATTATAATGCCCAACCCCTCAGCCACAAGGGGAAAGTAAGGGATTGTGTTTTTTTGTTTCATTTTACGCCTTTTCCCAACAGTATTTCAATCATATAGGCGGGTAGTTTCCTAACCATCGTTCCTGGAGAGTTACACCAGTACTAGACTACCTTCCTCCGTGCTAAACTACCAAAGCATCTCCCGAGGATCGAACCCACGCCAGAGAGGTAACTGGATTAGACGTCATCGACTCTAACCCCTCGACCACAGAGGCGTTCCTAAGTAAGGGATGAAATTGTTTTATATATATTACTGTTTCTAACCATGTGGAATGTTTTATTACATACATGACAATACTTTTCGAAATACTTTAAATATATGAATAAGATGTTTTTCTCTAAAGCGAAACTTTAAACTTTCTTATCGATTAAAAAACATCTTTTATGCTTTGGCTACAAAGATCTATCATTGCTCAGGTGGTAAAATAGTTTTAATTTGCTTATCCGTACGATTTACTCAAGTTTATAAATATGTCCACTCCTTGGGGACTTTTTCAAGACAAAAAGTCGAGCGAATATATCTTGACAGCTCTTATATATTAAAAGATCGTAAAAATTGACATACAACAACACCATATGGTGTGTTTGTTACATACAACCGGATGAGGTAGAAAGTTGAAAAAGACATGGTGATAGTTTAACAAGTAAAGTACTATTTGTTTGTTGTTTTTACGCCTGTATTAGCATGTTTATGGTTTTATTTTGGCTTTCGATACATTTTACCGGATTTCCTGGATAACTAACCAACAATGACCTATAGGGGGCGTCCGTGGCCGAGTCGTTAAGGTCGTTGTCTTCAAACCACTTGCCCCTCACCGCTGTGGGTTCGAATTTCGACAGGGACTTTGGGTTCTTTCATGTGAGGAAGCTATCCAGCTAGCTTACGGAACGTCGGTGGTTCTACTCAGGTGCCCGTTTGTGCCTGAAATAATGCACGGAAGGACACCTGAGGTCTTCCTCCACCAGTAAAGCTGGAACGTCGCGATATGACCTATACTGTGTCGATGTGACGTAAAACCCAAAACAAACAAAAAACCTATTTCTTTGCTGATGACCGGCTACTAATCCCACATGATGTCTAAATCAGCGACCATTACAATCATTGCCCGAATTTAGAAAGATATTGAATAGATTTTTTTTAATTTTATGCTTGTAAACCGAACACTTGGTTTTATTAGTCAAATTACAGTTCGTCAAAGTTTGTCTGCCAATGAAATCGCTCTATTTTGTTTAAATTTTGCCGAAGTATTTTCCATGCTTTTACTCAACTGTATGTATTAAATACGTTAAATGAGCCGATTTAATGGACTCCGCCTATTTACATAGTGCACTCGGTGTGAATAGACGGGGCTAACTGTAAGTCGGTTATGTAATAGAAAGAGCACCGAAACACGAGGTTATCTGATTTGTACGAGGGGGCGTAGCCCCCCGAGTATTAATCAGATTACCGAGGGTTTTGGTGTTCTTTCTCTTTTGTATCATAGTCAAACATAAAAACACGTTCCCTGTTGTTACAATATGAAACCCCGGCAAAAATGAACCAATGAACGAGCATCTAAATATGACATTTCTGTCGATTTCACTTTCACTGCCGTCACAATGTAAACCCCAGCAAACATGAGCCAATCAATGGACATGCTCTTGAGTGCGGGTAACTAATACCCGCACTCCAGTTAACGCACTGTGCATGTATATGTATACGATTTAACCCTGACACATTTTCAACAGAAAGGTCTCAAAACTATGATACAAAGGTTATATACAGAGTTTTAAGAAACTAATTTTCTCGCTTCACTTCGTTCGTTCGAAAATTAATTTCTTAAAACTCTGTATATAACCTATAACCTATACTTTAATCCATATAGCTTACTATAAGTGATACAACTTCTGTATTTTTCCCTCTAAGATTGCGTTAAGTTTAACAGCTATTAATTGCTGCTTTTTGTTCTTTATTTTATCTATAAAAGCATCACAATGTCATTTAAAATATAAAACGTAAACCCACAATGATCACTATGATCTTGAATTATTTTTGTTAGGTCAATGTTCGCATAGGCGTACGACTAACGCCGTTTTTTTATTACATGCGTCTGTTTCCAACGCTTTAATAAAAACGGTGGAACAAAATCTGTTTAAGTTCAAAAGGTAAACAAGTCGTCTTTTTTGGGGTTTCTTTCTTTTTTTGTTGTTGTTCCACATGGTAATTCAAAATAAATGCAATGTTCTCTCTACTCAAAAATATCTGATATTGGCTCAAAACAAACACATATCCTTAACGTGTATCTATAGGTAAATGCGAAATTCAAGAGTCTACATTCATTAATGGATCGCGAAATTTGACAATCAATACTAATACAAGTTTAGTGGTATTATTAGACATTCTTGAAAACTACATAAGGCAAAGTTATGTGAGGTATATAAACAGAACTCACCATCTTTTTTGTAAAAGAACAGTTCTGTTTTAAGCTCAGTTTTATTCTCAAGGGCTGTTTCGATCTTTCCTTTCTCGTCTACTAGAGTCTCATCTCCAAAGAGAAACTTGCAAGCACAGCTCCGACCCATCACCTGTGATCTTGGAAATCCAGTTAGTTCACAAAATCCGTCTGAGCAATACACCACGGGACAGCCAGAAGCCTGAGCGTTACCGAGGACAAAGTTGCTATCTGAAAATATACATTAAGATAATTAAATTATTTGGTTAACTGATTTTGCTGATATTAGGTAGACAACAGGTCCGTGACAATTGTTCAGTTAAGACGCACCACACAGGCGTTTCGAAAGTACTAACAGGAGCAATCTGTTTCTTGCAATTAAATTTTCACATTTTGCAAGATTATACCTTACAGAACATGCTCCTTCTTTGTTACATACGCCATAGCGAAAAAAAAAGAGCAGACTTTAATTCTTACGATGACGTAAGCGGGCGGTCAGAAAAGAATAGCTACATGTACCGCCCAAACCGGAAATTTCATTTTTGATGTTGCCGCTTGCAAACCGTTTGTAAAATTATACAGACGTAATTTTTTACAAATATTCTGTTTCCTGTTTTCGGTTTTTTATACGCATTACTCGAAAATTGCCCTGCTTTAACAATTAAATTTTAGTTTTCTTTGTAGAAATCTTTTTTTCCTTTTTGATTTTTTTAGGTTTCTACGTTTTAAAGACCCATTTAGTCTAAAAAATGATTAAGTTTTTATTTTTGTTTTTTTTTGTTTTTTTTTTGTTTTTTTTTAGCTTCTTTATTTTTCATGTCCTTTTACAGTTTCCAGAAAGCTACGCATTGTCCATTTACAAGATGAACCATCTTTTGCTCCTTTTGAAATTTGGTAATTAGTAAAATTTTTGCAATTAAGTATTTTGTATGGTGGTCAAAATACCATTTTGTTAACATTTTTCTACCTTTATCGCAAATAATTTTACATTCAGCACAATTTTATGCAGGCAATAGTGCGAGTTTATCGCCTGAATAAAAATGTGCTGGATGATGATAATATAAATCCACTATGTGATCAATATGAAGCAAATGTTTGCCGCAGGAACAACAAAAAAAACTGTTATCATTTTTTAGGCTTAATGTGCCTTTAAAGCAAGATGATGATAATAAAAATCAATAACATGTAACGTCCTATTAAGGACTCTTCATCTTTAATGACTTTCCGGAGAAGATATGAATGTAATCTGATAATCATTATTAAAATAAATCACATCCTTGGCACGAATTCTGGAATACAACGAGCTTCCAATATTATTGAGAAGTTCCTGCTTAAAAGCGCATTGACCCCGAGAAATTAGAATATATTTCCTTTTTTAGAAAGAGCTAAAATTTGTATTATAGTACTATTCTGATAATGGATTAAAAGTATATTTAAAGATTATCAGCTGATGAAAGCCCTGAATGTGTAATTATTTGTCAAAAGACACGATTGCTGACATGTCCGGGGTCCGTACTCTCAGTGCCTGAAAGGACGGATGGACCCTTATTAAAATTTGAAAACACACATTAATTGTCATAAACGTAGTCTCAGAACAAAAAGAAAATGAATAAAGTGGTATGTTTACTTTCGTACAAAATACTTAATTACTAATCTAAATTCCTAAAGCAAAAGAAACATAAGATGGTTCTGCTAAATGGTCAATGATACGCTCCTGCGCCAAGGTCAAATGTTCCACAATCGTTTACTTCAAACTAAGTGCGTTCATTTAGCTGCTAAGAAAGAGTCTACAAGGTCAATGAGCAACATTTTTCAAACTGTTACAGGGCATGTAAACAAATTTTTGGGTGTTTATGGACCTTCAGAAATGTAAATGTCTTAATTGTTATAGTATTACATGTTTTACAAATTATCCTTTTAGTTTGAATACCACATTATTGTGTTGTTCTTTTCATATTTGTGTTTCCATGACGAGTTATACAACGTTCTAACCAATAGAACAAATAACACTCAAAATAGTATGAATAAAAAAAATGCCTTCACGCTATGTGGTATATTTAAAGTAAAAATTTAAAAAAGTAAAAAAAAAAAAAAGAATTGGTCTCAATGTTCAAAGTAATTCCTTTCTTTTATCTTAGTATATCTTATTATTCTAAAATCAATTATTTAAGGGGCCTCCGTATACGAGTTAATATGGTCGCTGACCCTGAACTACTTGTCCCTCACTTCTATGGGTGTAGCTCAAACGGTAGTTTGTTCTAATTTTTTTATTGATTTGCTTGAAATCATTTTCAAAACACATTATAATAATTACATTTTTTTAGAAAAAAAATAATTACACGGTTTAAGACAGTTGTGCTTGCAAATCAGCACTTACCACTGAAGCATTGTTTAAATTAAATAAATCGTATGGAGTAAATTTTATGTAACAATAATCAAAATAGAAGAATGTCAGTTAAGCGTTGAGAAAGACGAACACTTGCTTACTAAGTACTATTAGAGTTTCATTATGCACCATTTGTAACGTGCCTTAATGAGAACACTATATCAAATGTAACGCAGGATGACGGAATAATTGTGCACAGTCGTGAGTCGTGATAAATGAACAAGTTTTATAATACAAGCATCAACACAAATTACAATTTAGGAGAAAAAAAAAACAACAACTCCTCTGCAAAATGTCCTGCCTAATTTGCATCAGTAATTACCAACTGATTGAAGTTGACACTGTTGCAAAAGGAAATATTGCTAGGATCATAATAGTATCTTATTATAAGCTTGCTTTTCTCCTAGTCGGATTTACCTGAAATGCCTTTGATACAATATAATAGCTCCGATAACAAGCACAGCGTGATATCTAATAAATAATTATTGGCATTAAATCACGCTGTTTTTAATATAGGATGATTTCTTAACATTAAAGAAATTCATCAGCGCACAACGAAAAGACCCACTGGGTAATGATTTACCATGCTTTTGATTATCTACGTAATCTTATCAAAGCAACAGACAGCATGTTTCTGATTATCACACTAATTGCTTTCCGATCTAGAGAATTGACTCAGCACGTGATAATTTATTGCTTATTATATTTTTATATTGAAATTGAATGTAAGGATGATTGATTACTGGGAGCGGTGTGTGGGGGGAGGGGTAAATTAATAAGTTATAGGAATCGGTAATTCATATGAAGATTGGAGGATTGGTATAATAAAACAATGATTTTAGCTTAGAAGCACTTCACATCGGTCGTCAGTGGGAACTTAATTACACGTCTAAAATTTCATAATTCAAATATTTCACTGTTTTACGCTGAAATGTAGAGTCGGTGTTAGGGAGCGTTGGCGATACTTGTACTTACCACTACCGTCCATAAACAGATTTACTGAAACCAAGTCTGCAACATATTTTGTTAAAGTTGCTGTTGTGGGCGTTCTATAAGATCTTCATTTTTGAACCTCTCTCAGTCGTATATTTGAACTTTACCGCAAAAAAATGTCAATGTCAAAGATACCATGACTATTTAATACTTTATAAGCAGAAGAAAGGAAATTCTATAAATATTATGCATATTGTTGGAAAGTATGAGATATATGAATCGATATAACATATATATTTATATAGCAGATGATGAAGTTTTCTAGAATAAAATATTATTGCCAATTATATAAACGTTTTTAATAAATCACTTAAAACTTTATCAACATATTCTTTTCCAAGCAATTTTTAAGAATGTCATACATATCTACTGTTTTTGTTTTATCGATATTTGGAATACTTGTGGAAAATGTGCCCATAGTAGACCAAGCTTCTTTAAAGCATCGGTCCAGTCAGATATATACAATATTATTGTTGGTAGAATTGATAAACAGTTTCTTGACATTTCTTGACATTTCAATTGACATGACATTTGAGGGTCAGTAACCTTTAACGCTTTGGCGGCTTTATTTATTGCTATACGACAAAAATAATAGCATTACTATTGAAATGAATGTAGAAACTACAGAAATGTATACATTTCTTTTATGAAGAGGCGCGAAACAAATACAAGTAACTTATTCCTGATCACTTTGTAACAAATCCGTCAAGTCTTGTAATTGTCTTCTTACAGAGTTCAATAAAATGGGAGATCCTGCGAAGGAATTAAAAGCAAATTTTGAAATTGAAAATTGCAGTTACACGGCATAAAGTCAATTGTATTTTAACATATACTGCGAAGGATTATATTCTCTGGCATCAAAATGACCGAAATACGTCATATTTTTTGTATTGTAAAAGAAAATGTTGGTAAACTAGTGGTAAAGGTCGCCATTTAACACAGATATCATGGATTGAAGGTGTTACTGGGTCACGACAACGTTTACTTGTATACCAGCCCTACCGATTAGTTCAATGAAGTGATAGCGGTTTTGATACTCCTAATACTTAATTTAGATAAATGACCTTCATTAAAATATGTTTAATGTTATACCTTTACTCAATTATGAACCAAACATCACGCCAAATATCATATTGTTGCCTTTCTCAAATAATCTACAGATCCTCCAATATAGACAATTCACTGTAAAAGGTGCACTGTCGTAAGTTGATTCAGACAAATTAGAATGTACTATTAGAATTTGACTTCTTCACTACTGTTATTCCAGAATTAATGACGAATTAATTGGTACTTTTCGCTTTTTTTTCAGCAAATGCAATAAGGCAAACCGAACTAAAATGATTAAACTAAAAATGACTTTCACGTTTATATATATACAGGATCTACAAATGTTGTAATTTCATTAGGTGAACAATTAACAAGTCTAGAAAAGGTTATAAAGGAAGTCAGTAGGTAGCTTTACCTAATTTGTAGAACGAATGTAATGTATCACAACATGTTGTTGTCCCAAAAACAGCAAAATAATGGATCGCTATTTTATAACCATTTTATATATAGCGTGTGCAAAACGAGGAAATAAGCAATGGTGAAATATAAATACATTGAAAGATAGTGACATACCGGTAAAGTATATAAAAGCGGCATTTTATTTGATAATTAAAAATCTCGTCCTTGAACCTTTCACTAGAGATTTGTTGCATAGACAAGATTTTCTAACATATTAAATATAAAAAGACTAAAAACGTTGATATAATGTAAACCGCAAATATAAACATTTTATCCTAAACAATATTCGCTTAAAGGAAGCACAATATTTTGTATACATTCTAGACATTCCCCCCATTATTTAAGT